CGCGAGAGCCCTCACCCTGTACGTCGTATATGGAAGCAGGTTCTCCTTCAGGCTGTCGAGGTCGAGCACCTCTCCAAGGGGAACTCGTCGGGAGGTTTGGCTTCCGTTGAACGTCTTCTCGTGACACCTTTGCCGTTCACTGCCCTCAGGGAGAAAGGTGTATTCAATGGCCATGTCGGGTCCGTTGTAAGTGTCGCAGCCATCTGTGAGGGAGGCGCTGCAGGCGGTGGGCGAGCAGTGAGTGGCTCTTACCCGACTCGTTGGACCTGAGGGACGGGTGGGGAAAAAGGGAGCGCTTGAGAACTAGGCAATCTTGCGTTACGTGCTGTTTGTACAATTCCAGGCCTTCTATGTTCTGTTTTATCGGTGTGATGTCTAGCCTTACTGTAGTAGTGTTGCTGACAGTTTTAAGTAATACCAACTTTGTTATGTATACGCTACAGTCTTTTGTATTTTGTGAGTATATAACCAGCCGCGCTTTCTTCTACAGTGTGAACATAATTTACATGTGCGCGGACACACACACAAGTATGTAAGTATATATTCATATGTACATTCACACATGCGTATATATGCATATATATATATATATATATATATATATATATATACTATATATATATATATATATATATACTATATACATATACTACATATATATATATATATATATATATATATATTATATATATATATATATATATACATATATATTCTATATATATATATATAAAGAATGAATAGTTACGGGCAGCTTCGGTTTCAAAATCCGTTGTTTCCATGTCACTGATTCCTTCCTCATTCCCAGCTTGGACCTCGAGGATGATCTTGCAATAAGGACAGACAGAAATCTTCGTGGAATTATCTGTTGTGTTTTTGCCCAAGAAGGATCTGCCTCCCGGGCACGAGATGGGTTTCATCTGTTGGCATAAGGTCAGAGGTGAAAGGTCATGTCAGATACCAGATGGGGTTCACCTGTTTGCATTAAGGTCAGAGGTGAAAGGTCATGTCGACAGCAGATGGAGTTTCACCTGTTGGCATAAGGTCAGAGTTGTAAAGATGTCAGATACCAGAATATGTCTTGAGCGTATATTTACCGCGAAAAAGGTCATGTCAGATATCTCTGAATATGTGACATATGAGCTTATATTATATAACGTGAGAAAGGTCCATGTCAGATACCCTGAGAACCAGCTTAGATGTTTAAGATATCATAATTTATAGGATTCAGTTCCTTCTAATCATCACAGTGGACCACTAAACACACTCGAATACTGAACGATCTAGTAAACATTAATTTACCTATTATAATTATATCTGTAGAAGTGACGGACTCCATCGAAGCTGCATCGTTGGTCACCCTTAATGAGAATACTACTTTCTGTGTCCTGTCTTCGCTATCTTTATTGATGGGCGGATCGGGAACTTGCAATGGGAATTCATAGAAAGATTTGATATTTTATGTATTAATGATGACCTTAATGGTCTGATGGTAGTATTGATGATGGAGATGGTGATGTTGTTGTGGAGGTATGATAATGTATGATATCTTGATGATGATGATAGTAATAATTGATTGTGATGCCTGTAGTAATGATTGATGATAAACAACAATAATGACCAATGATAATGTAATATCAAAAATGATAATGATGGCATAATAATAAGAATAAAACAAACAACAACAACTCTCTATAATATAATGACAAATATGATAATTAATACTAATAATATAATGTTTAATGATAATTACCAAATAAAGAAAATTGATAAGGACGAAAATTTAGTAGTATTAGGTAATAATAAATCAACACCAAAATAATATATATATTATTTATTATTATATATATATTTATATATAATATTATATATATATATAATATTATTATTATTATTATTATATAACCATTATCGGTTCACATTGCTCTCAAATGACTAATGAAACAAGAAAAAATAGAAAGAAAAAACTGTATAAAAATGTCTTTTGCGATAGACCTATCATATCATTTGATCATCAAAGTGCTTGCACAATCACTCTATTCACGACTCATAAAGTACAGAAAGACAAAAAAATTTACTCGCCAGTAGGATTGGTCCTCGCCTCAAAACGACCTGTCGAGCTAACTTTCCCTGTTACAGTATTCTTCGTCGACACCCGGTACGTGTAGTTCGTGAAGGGCGTCAGCTGGGTCACCGTAGATCTCCCTGCTTGTAAGTGCTGTTTCTCGATGGGTGTAGATGCACGACTGAATATCTCGATGATGTATTCTAGATGACATCTGGTTAGGTACGGTACTTCCTGTTTGCGGAGAGAGG